GGATAAAGGACAAAAATGGGAGGGACCTAACAATCAGAAGACTTCAAGAGGAGGTGGCAAGAATACACAGAGGAATTATATCAGAAAGATTTGGATATCCCGGACAAGCCAGACAATGTAGTTGCTGACCTTGAGCCAGACATCCTGGAGAGCGAAGTCAAGTGGGCCTTAGAAAGCCTGGCTAACAACAAGGCCAGTGGAGGTGATGGCATTCCAGTTGAACTATTTAAAATCTTGAAAGATCATGCTGTTAAGGTGCTACATTCAATATGCCAGCAAGTTTGGAAAACCCAACAGTGGCCAGAGGATTGGAAAAGATCAGTCTACATCCCAATCCCAAAGAAGGGCAGTGCCAAAGAATGCTCCAACTACCGTACAATTGCACTCATTTCACACGCTAGCAAGGTTATGCTCAAAATCCTCCAAGGTAGGCTTCAGCAGTATGTGGACCGAGAACTCCCAGAAGTACAAGCAGGATTCCGAAGTGGCAGAGGAACTAGAGACCAAATTGCTGACATGCACTGGATTATGGAGAAAGCCAGAGAGTTCCAGAAAAATATCTACTTCTGCTTCATTGACTATGAAGTCTGTGTGGATCACAGCAAACTATGGCAAGACCTAAAAGAAATGGGAGTGCCTGACCACCTTATCTATCTACTGAGAAACATAATAGGGACAGGAAGCAACAATTAGAACTGGATATGGAATACCTGATTGGTTCAAAATTGTGGAAAAAGTACGAAAAGGCTGTATATTGTCTCCCTGCTTATTTAACTCATAAGCAGAATACATCATGCAGAAGGCTGGACTGGAGGAATCCCAAACCAGAATTAAGATTGCCAGAAGAAATATCAACAATGTCAGATAGGCAGATGATACCACTCTGAGGGCAGAAAGTGAGGAGGAATTAAAGAACCTCTTAATGAGGGTGAAAGAGGAGAGCGCGAAAAATAGTCTGAAGTTCAACATCAAAAAAATGAATATCATGGCCACTGGTCCCATCACCTCCTGGGAAATAGAAGGGGAAGATATGGAGGCAGTGACAGAGTTTACTTTCTTGGGATCTATGATCACTGCAGATGGAGACAGCAGCCCTGAAATTAAAAGACACCTGCTTCTTGGGAGGAAAGCGATGACAAACCTCGACAGCATCTTAAAAAGCAGAGACATCACGTTGCCAACAAAAGTCCTGTAGTGATGTATGGAAGTGAGAGCTGGACCATAAAGAAAGCAGACCACGAAAGAATTGATGCCTTTGAATTGTGGCGCTGGAGGAGGCTCTTGAGAGTCCCCTGGACTGCAAGGAGAACAAACCTATCAATTCTAAAGGAAATCAAACCAGAGTGCTCACTGGAAGGACAGATTCTGAAGCTGAGGCTCCAGTACTTTGGCCATCTTATGAGAAGAGAAGACTCCTTGGAAAAGACCTTGGTGGTGGGAAAGTGTGAAGGCAAGAGGAGGAGGGGACGACAGAGGATGAGATGGCTGGAGAGTGTCATCGAAGCAACCAAGATGAATTTGACACAACTACGGGAGCAGATGAGTGGAATAGACACTAAACTGCTTAACAGCATGTAAGATCATCCCCAGCCACAAAGCTAAAAACTCCAGTAATTTCACAGCTTAAAACGAGTGAGCTGAATAATTATTTTCTATTTTTAAAATATCTTTAAATAATTTTTATACCAGAAATGGAAAGTGTTTTTAATGTCTGTTGGGCCAGAAAGGAAATAAAAACTTCTCCTCTTGAGAATCATTTGATTTGATCCTGACTGGAAAGGTCAAAGGTTAAGATCTCCCTTCCCAGTTCTCAAGTTGAAACAATGTTTATGTTTAGAATGCTCATGCCGATAACCAGTTTATAAGGAAGTCATAAAGTCTTAATTTTTTTCTGGAATTTTTCAGAATCAACGTTACAGTTCTGGTGCTCGATTCCTTTCACATTTTTTAAAAAAGCAGCTGGGACCAACTATTTTCTTTCCAGTTAAGGTTTGGTCTTTTGAATGCATTTGATCTGTTTTAAATCTGCAGACAGAAGAAGTTGACGGTATCTGCATGTGGGTGGGTGGGGGTTAAATAGCTTTCTAAAAAAAGTAATTCAAAAACTGTTTGCTCAAATATAACCAAGTATAGCACAGAGAAGTTGGTCTGCTGATCTGAGGTCCATTTTTGAAGTTACAATTTTTGATTGGGGTAGCCCCAGTTTTTGAGTAGCTTTATGGAATGATCATTTGCTCTGTTGCACTCTCATGCAGCAATAATCAAGCAATAATCAGTTAAAACTGATCCTAGTTTTTCTAGCAAAAACAAGCACACTTGGTTCCATACCTAGTAAAACAATTCCATTACCTCTTGCTGTTGGATGAGAAATGTATCAATCAAGCTCCGCTGATCATTTTTGTCGAGATCTTCTATGTGGTTTAAGAACGTGGCAGTTATATAGGCATGCAACTCATCTCTGTTATTAAGGATGATCTTACGAGCACCAAACAGAAAGCCAAGTGCAGGAAACATGTTATACAGCTAAAGGTATGAAATAAGGGAAGAAAAGGCAAAATTAACATATTTCAATTCTCACTGAGAGATTTTGTTTTTATGTCAATATTGGAAGAACTTTCATGTTGCATACCTTACATTCTAGAATTGAAAAATAAATAATATATTATAGTCATTTAGTAATATTTAATCAGTATTCCTTAAAGATAGACCTTGTCCACACTGACCATTTGTTCAACTCTCCTTCAGTCCATGATACCATACTTTCCCTACTGTCCCCCTGACATAAGGCTGACACTGGTGTCAATGGAATCAGAGCAGGACCAAAAAACCCACATTTCCTGGTGGGTTTTATGCTACTACCATCCTTCTGGTGATTAATTTGTTCCACTTTGCTCTGCTTTCCTCCAGTGCATGATAATATTGTCTTGACCCCAGTACTTCATTATGCCATGGTGATCTGCACACTTTGCGAGTGTGTGTCATTTGATGATGATTCCTCATGAGTATGTTTCTACTATTTAGTTGCTGCCCTGTCATGCCTGAGTGCCACCCACCATATTGTTTGCTTAGTTTTGTTCAAATATCAGTTGCTTCTCTTGTCAGATCCTTCCTTCCTTCCTTCCTTCCTCCCTTCATCTCTTTTTTCGTTACTACTTCT